TTTATCATTCTTCTCTTCTAATTTTACAGACATCTTACATTGTTGGTAATAGCAGAGAAACAATACAAAAGGTAGGTCAATAAATATTAGGCATTCATTTTAGAATTTAAGACTTAATAATTTAGGATGTTGCTTCTTCTGTCTTTCAACTTTGATTAAAAAAAACCTACAAACTCAGTTACATGGCTTATACATTTATTTTATTATATCCTCTAAAGGCATTCTATTATATTCTCTAAAGGACTCTTGCTTTATATTCTTCAAGACACTGAATGGTAAAATTATTACTAGAGCTATTAAAAAAATGTAGTTCTCTGGTTATCATGATGCAGAAATGGAGAAGTCTATTATGCTGCAAATAGCTGGAGAAGGGCAACTTTGTTTGCTTTCATGGTAAATTGCATGAGTAAGTCACCTATAGTTCCATAAAACAAACTTTGAGTATTAGTAATATTATAACAGTTACTGATTTACAATTTCTCAAAAATTACATTAAGAATCAAATTAGGGATGTCTTTTAAATTGTTATGATTTAATAAGATAAGCTATCTCAAAATGAAGTCATCCTCATTGGGAATGGTAATACCAGTACATTAAAGGCAAGGTCACTTTTCTGTAATGATAATCACATAAATCCCTCAAATGTGACTGTTATGGTAAGTAAGGCATTTTATGGATCTTAAGACCTTTATTTGTATTAACATTATAACTAAAAATCCATTAAAATATAAGACTATATAAGGTTATTTTTTCTCTTTTTATTTTATCATTTTAAGTTCTATTTTTATTTAATATTGAATACAATAATATCACTGTAAAATACACGTTATAATATATTTTCATCATAAAATTGTCTCTCATAACAGAATCCACTAATGAACAGAATTCCTAGAATTTGGTTTTATAATGCAAACAACTTTTGTTTTCTTTCTTCATATTTAACACATAAAAATGGAAGATAACAGAGATAATGTTTACACAAATATTACTACTTAAAGCACACTTTGTTTCACCAATAATTTGTTAATTTCCCCAAAAATATTCCTAAGGAAAAACACTCAATTTTCTGATTGAGTGTATTCACATATTGTGCCTAATGAACCTAATGCACCTATTGCTAAAAAACTTTTTGAAAAGATCTTGCATCCTTGTATTGACATCCGTAAGGATTTTTATTATGGAAGCTGCTATAAAAACAGTGTGAAAGCATAACTATATTGTATGAAATGACTAGAGAGATTTCTTTTTCCAAGATTACTTTTGTTGACATGGATAAGTAACGGTAAATGCTCTTCCAAATGCTTTAAGAGGAAAAGAAGGGCAAAAACAATTTAAAATATAATTTTGCAACATTTTTCTAGTGCATTTTGGAGTAAAGCACTGTAGATTTTTCACAGAGAACAGATAGTCCAGAAGATGATAAAATGTTTTGACAGTAGAATTTTAAATGGGAAATCTTCTAGGAAAATTACACAAGACACTCATCTAAACATTAGTGTAGATAAAGTAAATTACTGCACATTTTTGTATTGTATTGTGCCTCCTAGACACAAAAACCTTTTTTTTTATCTTGAGTGAAAAATGGATGTAACTATACAGTGTCTATTTCTTTTTTTTTTTTTTTTTCTTTGAGAGGAGGTCCAAAGGGTCCAAAGGATCCACAGAGCTGAATGTCTCTCATGCCTGATATAGCTATTGTAACTTCATTTTTTTTTTTCCTTACATGTAAAAATATATAGTGGTCATTTATTATATTATTAATTTTTAGACATCATTTTAGTTGATGTTTTCTCAGCAAGGTCCATCACAAGTAACTGCTATAAATACAAGGAATAAATCAGAGGCCATCACTATTTATCCTCATAGCAGAACAAGCAGTAAGGCACGGAGTTTTCCCACACTGTCCCCATATGGCAACAATAACAAGCTGAGTCTTCAGGCTTCTAAGATCATAAATCACCTAAATAGGAAACAAGAATTATGTTTTTCCTGATTTATCATATTGTTGTTTATGATAGATACCTTTTCATCCAACCTCTCATAGCACTATATCTTGCTCATCTATGTGAGATAACCTTCTCTATCTCTGTTATACATCTTACATATTTTGGCTCTGCTTACATGCACTTCCCCAATTTTGCCATTCCCACAACTCATTCCCTGTTTCATCTCTTGCCTACTGCCACAGGATTTCCTTTTTACCAGTCTCAATTCAGGTTGAGCAATATCTTTCCCAAAATAGATTTTCAAATACCCAAGTGGTGTGCCAGAGAGGATGTCTTAGCCAATGACAAATTCAGCCTTTCTAATCTCACCTGTCTTTGAAGTCAGTACTAAATTCTTCATTATTCATGCAGATCAGCTGTCATAACCTGTTTTCTTGCCTCTGCTTTTGTAGCTTTGTTTTCTCCTCTGGATTGCTGAGCTACTTTGCTGGAGTAAAATTTAGAACACTCATTTCATTTCTGATTATATAAACATCTGAGGAAGATGTACATTTTCAAGATAATTGCTTTATTTCATTTCAAGTTATCAATAAAATTGAATTCCTCCATTTCTTATTGGAACGATTCCCTAAAAAAACCTAAATCATTCCTGATGATTAGCCTTCTATTTTTGATTCTTAAAACAGGATATATCAGATCATCAAATTTAAAACAGAATTTCTGATTAAAAACTGATATCTGAAACGTTAAATCACGTTAAACATGAGACTGAATCTTAAAACAAATCTTTAAATCTTTAAACAGTGAAGAATTTGATAGTTTTTATGTTTGTCAAGGTTATTACTAAGAGATAATAGAAATACATCTGTTTCTCCACAGAGAAAGTGTTTTGAACACTAATAGTAATTTTAGTCACTATAAAAATGAAAAAGTAAAACTAAAATCTTTCTCTCTGGAAAAAATAAGCAGCACCATTCTTAATGTCAAAAAATGACTTCTTAAAAATTAAACTATCAATAATTTGATTCACTGAAACGTAGTCCAAAGGCTAACACTGAATACAAACAAAACTTATATCTAAAACTTTTATGTTTTCTGTAAGTCATTCAAAAAGTCACTGAAAGTAGTTTACTGTCAAAATATCACTTTAAAAAGTCAAAAAGAGAACTTCATGGAATGCTAACAGTGCGAGCAAACTTTTTTGGTTGTCATTGTTTGTTTGTTCTAATGTAAGAAAAAAACTGCGTGAATGCTGCAAAACTAGGACAAATAAGTTTCTATAAATAGCTATCAGTCTCAGTGAAGCACAGCAACTTAATCCTCATTTGAAGCTATTCTGAGCACAAAGTTGGGTTGGAGGACATGACACTTGCACTTGCTTCTCACAGTTCTCCCATCACACTGTTTTCATTCTAATCATTTTCTTGCTCTTCACTTTTTTCCTATTGTCTTAATCCTCCTTTTCTGCTTCTTCAGTTTTTTTTTTTCACTTAGCTTTTTAGATTTCTACTTTCCTCCCTTTGAGGCTCGACAGAATAGCTTTCCCCTTGAGTTTTCATTTTTCTCATCTTTTGAGAAGTAGATCCATTGTCTTTAGCCTCCTTCAGAGAAGCACATAGAGAAAATTCTGTTTTTTTAAGGGCTAATAATATCTCTCAGATTTACTGAATATTCCTGAATAAAGTAAAATTATTTAAGGTAGAATCTCTATTGTTTCTCTTTTATAATCTTGCTAAATATGTGCCTTTATGGCACATAGGAACAAAAAAGAGAAATATGAGTATGTATATAGGATAGAAAATATAGGAGCAAAGCATATATAATAGTATTACGTATTACATAATCTTTTATCATCATGTCAAATCAGATAGAGCTTGTTTATGGCATATGAGAACAAAATATAGTACCTGATGTTTTCCAGAGGTCCCTTCCAATTTCGACTATTCTATGATTCTGTGATATATATGAATATATATGATATAATATAGCACATATAAACAAAAATTAAACATTTGATTTTATGCCATTATGTCAAAAAATTTTCCTTGGTCAATATGTCTCATTTAATAGCTCTAAGTTATTTCATAGATAGCAGAGTTTGTTCTCAAAATAGATCTGGCAAGAGTCCACAGTTCAGACCTCATGAACACCCAGATATCTCTCAGAGCTTAATAACTCCTAGAATTTTAGTCTCTAGGGACTTTAGAATAATTCATTATTCTTTTCCACAACCACCTACTCGCACTCTGAGGTAAGCTGTTGATATGTCTAATATCATACCCGGAGGCAGTGTCAAAACTAGGATTCAAATTGTTTTCTGGTTAGACGTTTGATCACTTCAGGCAGAGATTGGCAGTAAAGACAGTTACTTGAAGTGACCATATCTCCACTGGTTGCTCAGCAAAAGTGATTCCTGTAAGCATCCTACCAGATTTAGATAAAGAGCTGAGCAGCCCTAATGGGATTAGTGGTAGCCCACAGCTACCTGGCACTGCATGTAAAGGCAGGCTGGATTTGTTGTCATATTGCAAAATCTGGCTGGATACAATTCCTGTGCTGCCTTTTGATATCCTGCACTGGTGTTCTTTTCTACGGAGTCCTTCAAGGCCAAGCATCCTGGACAGTTTAGTTCCCAACTAGACATGACAATACAGTGACTCTGCACGTTGACCTAAGGTCAGAGGTCGGACAGACCATAACGCATTTCAATTTTGTGCATGGCTGCACTCACCTGCCCAGTGCAGTGGGGACATAACTAACTCTGCCACAAATAATATAGATTTCTTTCACAGACTATGGTGCCAGAGTCCAGATCTGTATTTGATTACTTTTACATGCATCTTGAGTAGTAGATACCTACCTACAAACTTATCTGCATCATAGATAAGACCTGGAATAGAAGATAAACCTGGTTTGTCAGCTCAGAGCCCAGGCTATTGTACTTAGGGAACAAAAATGTATAGTCAATAGCGGATTTTTTTTCCTGTATTTGTTCTTTGATTTTACCTGTTTTTTCCTCACAGGAGACAGGCTATAATTTGTATGCTACATTGGAAACATGACCTTGACTCCTTATGCATATTGATTAAGACACAAGATCACTGACTATTTGAGTTTTAGTAAGTCATTTCAGTATTATGTCCATTTTAAACAGTTTTAATTTGATTTCTGTATAAATAACACATCACCAGACAGTTTTTTTTTTTTTTTTTTCTGTCCGTTCTGTTTAGCCATGCAGTACGGGTTGCAATTAGCTCATATGCATTTTGGAGCTCTAGAAGCACAGATGACATATGTAAACAATCTTTCTTTCCCTGCCCTCAGCTGTTACAGCTGCATAAAGTTGGCTCTGCACATGGATTTCATGCACTCTGTGCTTCAACTCCACTTCCCTCTGAAGATCCACTGGTGTATGAAGGGAATCTACAGTTCTACTTTCTGTGTGCATCATGTGGTAGTGGTGGACAAATACTGGTTGGGCAGAAAACTCAATTGTACAAGAAGGTATAGGAGCAGAATCTGTGTCTTGAAAGGGTGAGACTTTACATGGACAGGGACATCAGTCTGATATACAAAAATCCTGTTCATCCTGCTGAGAAGCATTATTACAGTGATTCTGTAGTGGACACTATGCCTTCAGAATGCGCATGCAAGAGTAGGCTAAAATGAGTGATATTAATGCTCTTGACATCCTTGCATTGCTTGAATAGGAGTGAGTGGCTGAGTTGAGCCTGTTGCTTAGTATTATTTCAAGCCTGTGAGAGAGAAATTTGAGAGAAGGGGAAGAAAGCTGCTTCTAAATGTCTCTGTCCCTCCAAATGCACAGGCATTCTGGAAGAACATGAGTCTCATAAATATCCCTTTGGATTTTAGTGGGGCCACTGATGCTCAAAACTAAACAAGTCTTAAAGGGCATTTTAGAATGTGTCCTATAGGAGTGACCTAAGAAGCACCACTTCTACTGAATATTGATATTGCTCTTTCTCACTGTGTGTGCCTCTTGATACTGTACTGCAGATAAAATACTTTCTGTGAAGCATTGATGTAATTCAGTCTCAGAAAAGAACAGCCTATGAGAAAACAGCACAATGATTTCATGTCACACAGAAGTGAAGTATGACAACCTCATCAGTCAACAATTTAGCTTTCATTTACACCATCCTTTTGCAAGAATTGTGAGGAATTTAGGCTTAAACTGTTGCTAAAATCATGCCTTTTTATTATGACTTTTGAATATACATGATGTATAAAGCAATGAACAGTAAGTTAATAAAGAAAAAAAAGAAAACACAACAAAATGAAGAGAGAATGATTATGTAAGGGAACTCTATGCATCCACTGAATTGGCCAGGTATCTAAGATAATGATCTGTTGCAGAATGTATAGGTTGACCTTGTTCACTAGGAGAAGCTGAAATGGAAAATAGAACTGCCACTCCAGGATCAAGACTGACAGGGGCAGTCAAAGGTCATCTGACTCTGGAACTGTCTACCCATATTCCCCACTAGCTGTTAGCTGCTGTAAATCATCTACCTGCACTGCTGCAAAAACGGCACAGGACTTTTATGAAAAAAATATTTTTTCTTTTGGTCACATCTTGCTTGTGCTTAAACGATGCAGGGAAATAAAGTGTTCTGGACCTTGAAGATACTTTAATAATTCTACAAATAAGGTATACCTGAGCATGTACTATATCACATTCTCACTCAGTAGTAAATGAACCATGCCAATCAGACTTCAGCCAAAAAGTCACAAGACAAAGATTTGGGTTTTGTGTTTTCTTTAGCTTCCTGCACTGATCACACTCCTAGTCAGAGGATGAAACCAAATCAAAAGCAGCTCTTTCCACAAAACTATGAGGTAGTTTAGATAGTCTGATTTATTTTCATCAGGCAGAATTATTTGTCAAGATTTTCTCAGGAATGGTCTGATTTGAAAATTGGAGAGAAAGAATTGTATCAAAAAAAAAAAAAAAAAAAAAGAAGAAAAAAAGAAAAGAAACCTTGAAGTCATATCTGCCCTAAGCGTAGGCAGTCTGTTGAACTAGGGAACATACCCATTATATAGTTGCAGACACGTCAATAAAGAAAATAGAGATATATGGTACCCATATATCTCCAGCGTGCCCGGCTTTTAGCTTTACAGACTGTTAGCAATTTATCCCTTTGTGTGTCAAAAGGCCTTGCAACTTTATAAACTGAAACCCTTCCAACTTCAACCACTCTGTGAGTCTGTGTGAAACCACACAAACACACATATACATAGACTTTTTTATTTCTCACATCCTATTTATATCCCTTACATTCTTTGAAGTAAAGGGTCTGATCTTTTATTATATCAAGAATGAATGCATCTCCTATATTTAGCACCCTGAAAAAAAGCTATTTGCACAGGTGCATCCAGAAACACTCTCACATCCAGCTCTTGTTATCTGTTCTAATTTTCCCCTGAATTGTATAGCACTGCTTCACAAAGTAACTTGAATGTTCTTTGTTTCTTATTTCTTTTCAGGTGAATTTAAGGAGTTTCTTTAATATTAGAACTGTGCTAACATTTCCTGTATGTCCTGATTAGAGCTGCTTTTTTTCATTTACCAGTTTGCTCAGTCAGCTGCATTTTGTGTAATCCATTAATGTGTGCATTGCAAATGCAAAATTGCTTTCAAATATAAGTGTAAATGTTTGTACCTGCTGATAGCTATCAATGAATTATAATTTAATGATTCAAATCCCTATAGCACTTGGAGGAATGAAGCAGTCATCTCTGTACTTCTTGCACAAAATTTAAAACTCTTTGAAGTCAATGGAAAGATATTTAAAGAAAAGAGGTCACTGCTTATCAGTTACAGGAATGAAATGAAATCAGTTATATGGGTGTATTGTCTCTGTATATATATGTATACACAAATATTTACTTCGTAATTCTAAATTTCTCAGGAATAGCAGGTAGGATTTTTTGTCACATCAAGAATATTTATTACTTCATGGAGAGGTACAAACTTCAGAAGGCTAGACTTTCAAAATATCTGAAAGTGGCTCTTATAGTTTCATGAAGTAAAAGCATAATTAGCATAAGAAATCAGGTCTGTAATTTCATTATGGTATAGATGTGATTTCACAGTACACATTTTTCCAAACAGAAATGGCTGAGCATCAATACTAATTCTCAAAAAGCCACTAAGTTCACTACATTTCTTTTTTGTTTGATTTGTATTTGGCCAAAAAATAAATGCTATAGTTAAATCAGAGGATGAAGAAAACTATTTTCTGTTTCAACAGTAAGTAAAGAGGTTAAACAGCACCTAATAAAGTTAAAGATCTTCAAACTAGCATCTGTAAGGAACTTGTCTCTAAGAACCATGAAGTCAAGGAGCTCTCTGGATTATTACTGCTGATTTTTGATTGCTCTCAGAACAAGTAGGGAAATTCCAAAAGAATGGAAGTAAATAAGTATTATATCAGTATTTAAGAAAAGTAGATAAACTATACTGGAAATTATAAGCCATTAGCCCCAGAAAACATAATGAAACAGTGTCACCAGCCTCAGTTAGTAAAGGGAAATCTAATGAGAATCAAGAAATGGTTCTTTTGAAATGCAATCTCTTTTTAGAAAGAAAACAATTTCTGCTGACAAAGAAATATGGTCCTTGTATTATATTTAAACTACTCCATGAGCAATTTAGCATTGTTAATTATTTTGTTTTGAAAAGTGAAGCAATACAAATTTACCATAAATATAAGTGGGTTAAATACTACCTAGATGATATGGCTCGATGGCTCAAAATCAATGTGAGGAAGAAGACTTTTGGTACACTGAAGAAGACAATATTGTCTTTTTTAATCAATATTTAGTAGAAAAATGTAAAACAAAGCTTCCAGTTGAAAAAGAACTTAGGATACTAGTAAATAACAACAACAACAACAAATAGTAACTCATAGAAACATCTGGATACTAGATCATAAAAAGATCTAGATGCATAGAAAGTTATAGTGTACTAACTGCAAATAAAAGATATGTATTTGATTATGGTCAAATGTAGGCTGCAATGGGTGTGATTACAGAATGTGGTTGTTTGGGAAGATGAGTTATGAAAAATGATGAATACCATGTTAATAAAGGTGAACATGAGTGCCAGTTTGTCAACTGCAAATGCAGTGAAAAAAAAATATGATCCTATGGTGTTCAGACGTGTCAAGTATAAATAAAGTCATTCCACTATTTCAACTGCGGTGTGGTGTTGATTCCTCTCCCAGAGGTTCTGTGTTCTTTTGATGTCAACAATGAGCATAATGATACATGAAACAGTACAGAGAAATTGAAACTGAAAACAAGCTATATATTAAGAAGAATGCAGAAACTGCATATTTAGTTTAATGGAAAAAAAAATCAAGGAATATTGTTCATTGCCTATACTGACGTCATGGCTGATGAGTCAAGGCTCTGTAATTTAACAGATTAAACATCCACAGTTTTGTGTGTTATAAGTTATAAAAACAATCTTCATTTTTATCATATTTGAGAGGATGGAAGTTGGATGCATTATTAGAATTGCTTTTCAAATCAGAAATATTTTTTGTAACCCAGAAATACATGGATTTTTGATTATTACATATATTCCCAGAAGCTCTGCAATCTGTTTTATATAAGTTTTCATGATTGCAGAGATCTCTCTGGCTTTATAATCTAAGAATGTCTAAAAACTTATAGTTTGATCAAAATATTATTATAGAAATCCACCTAGCACCAGTATTTAAAAGACTAGAAGGATTTACTAAAGGCTAAACAGGCATTAACTACTCATATTACTGAATTATATGGAAAGATTCATATTAATGAATAATAAGGAAAGAAAAAATCAATTTTGGGTAGTTTAGTTCCTTGATGATCTCCTCATCTTTTGAGAAAGTTTGTATATCTTGAACTTTTTATTTTTCTGTTTCTGAGACTAAAGCAATAAAAAGCAAAAATATCTAATTTATTTTCTAAAAGTCTCTTTATTCTGAGAAATGGAGGACAAAGAATCTAGATCTAGATCCTCTTCTGAAGAGTGAATGATCACAAATTAGCATAGCCCAGAAACATGGTGCTACTTTATTAGAAGTATTCAGAAAGTCATTCTTGTAAAATATGTAATAACACATACCACTGAAAAAAAGCTGTCTTACATTAAAATTATTTTTGATTTTTGATTTACTTTTTATTTTTGAAAGTATTCCTTTCTATGAATTTCTATATGCTGAAATAATTTAAAAGCTATTCATAAATGGATCTTAGAATACTTTACAAAAACACTCTCATAATATTGCAGACATGCATTAATACCATCTCATTTTATAGCCATATACAAGGATAACAAGTGCAAACAAACCAAGTAGCATTGTTGAAAT